CAATTAACAAACGGAGACGTAACAATATCTAATAATTCACATGCAGGAAACTTCGTAAATTGGATTTTATAATTGTTTAGGTAACTTCATTTTAACTCAAAACATAATGGAGTGATGTTATTTTTAATATTCCTTATTAAAAAATTTCAAAATATGCATTTTTTTAATTTTAAAAGTATAAAGCTTTAATAAATACAGACTGAAATACTTAACGAAAGTTGTTCCGTACGAAAACGTTGATAAATAAAATGAAATAACCACTAGGGGGTAGAAGTTGTTGTTATTTTTGATATTCCTTATTAAAAAAATTTCAAAATATGCATCTTTTTTAATTTTAAAAGTATAAAGCTTTAATAAATACAAACTGAAATACTTAACGAAAGTTGTACCGTACGAAAACGTTGATAAATAAAATGAAATAACCACTAGGGGGTAGAAGTTGTTTCAGAGATTATAGAAGTTTCACAGCTGTGCTGGCAAATTTTACGCTAGTGGTTTGTATATTAATTGTTATGCATATTTTTAGTTTTAATTTTCAACGATTCCCTATGACATTATATTTTTACCCCAAGATATGTTTTCATTGATATTATATATTTGTTTCTGTTTGTGACGTAACTCTCCGATCTTGTTTTTAATTGAGTGATACTAATAGTAATACATCACACAAACGTTTCGGCGTATTTGTTAATAATTTTGAATTGTCGCTGTCAGTGCTAGTGAACAATAACAGTGTCAACAATTTGTAATTACTGTTATTAATTACTAAAATAAGTATTAGTGTATATATTAAATTGTGATTTACCTAATTCACACACTAACAAATATCTTAAACATTAAAAGTTATCTAAAAAGTTAATCTATGCGAGAATGCGTGGGTCGCCCTCTCACTCTCACGTTGTCACTATTGCCGCATCGACAGATATGTGTGAATTTAATAATAACTTAAATATTTTAGTACGCATACTATTGTATCCTCTCTTTAAATACATAAAAGTGATAAGTATATAAGGCTACAACGTAAATATTGTAATATTAAACTATACTTAACTAAACTGAAATATTGCAATCTATTAATAATTAAAATCATAAATAATCATAATGATTATTTAATCTGCTATAGTCATTACAAGTTTATGCTTTATTTCATTAAACGTATCACTTGTAATCAATATGTTATTATAAATGTAGTTTTCTGACAATAGGAGTGACTTTGCCATACATTTCCACACAGTTGACAAAATTATTGAATAATAAATTTCAAGCATTGGTTAGACCATGAGACAAAAATAGGTTAAGTTAGGTAGTAAATTTATTAAAGCTATCTTGCATTATCAACTGAGTAAAAATTATATAATTACATAATTTGATACACAGCAAAACAGGAATATAGAGAGCCAGCACGGGCCCCGGGGCAAACATCCTCGCCGGGCCCCCCTTCTCTCTCTCTTTTTAACATTTTCAAGAATTTATCAAAAAGAAGATCCTAAATTAGGACAGCAACGAGCTCATAAACCAGACAAAATCATAGCAGCAGCCATTTTTAGCTCACAGTATAAGTGTAAAAATGTTAATAAAGTAACAAAAAATATCTGTTAAATCTATAAAGTAACAAATACATATTAATTATTACTCAAATTATTGTTTCAGTCATTCTTAACGTATCAAGCATCTATATGCAAATAAAAGCCAAAAACTATGTTTTTTATCATTAAATGAAGATATAGCATAAAGATGGTTTGCGGGCTTTACGGCATAACCAGGTTTCATTCGCCCGGGCCCCTGGGCAGTTGTCCCACCCACCCCTGCAGCAAAACGAACCTACAATGATTAGAATGCTTTTTAGTTTAAGGTATGAATTGGTCTCCACTTCTATTGTAATAACAATATTTTTAATTCTACTTTCAATAATATCTCGTGAGGTTTAGTTGCCATAGGAGATTAGGATCTTAAGTCCATTATACTAAGCGAATAATCCAATGTAATCTTTATAAATGTAAATGTTAATTCATAATTATTGTGAAAAAATACATTGATTGATCAAAACTTACACAACACCTGATTGCCATGAAAGTTCATGAAGCTTAACAGTATATGAAACTATATCTTGGTTATTTTACCTATTTCATCACATTACTACCTACAAATGGTTTTAAATTCCCATCTCTCTTTGGGTAATAAGTATCTAAACATCCCCCCACCCCTACACAAAATAAAATTGGCATTAATAATTAAATTTGAAATGCCCTCTAGACCATCACTACAAATGTGTGTGTGTGTATGTATATATATATATATATATAAACACTAATGCACACACAAATATATACATATACATGTATTGTTGTTTATATACTGTTTTAACTTATGTGTGTGACATGCATTTAAACCCTATATATATATATATATACATGTTTTCAGTTTCTAACTTTAAAATTGAATGTAGTTATATCCAAAAGTTATGAACCAATTTTTGGGACTTTTGTGCATAAGTGTGAATGCATTAAAAATTTGAGAAAATTGTGAAAGGGGTTAAAATGTGAGAATTTGTTATTGGGAGATAAGTAATCTCATGTGATAAATGTTTTTCAAAGTACTGAAAATCTCTTAGTTGGGAGATTAATGTCCTAAAAATGTCCAGAAAAAAAATATTTGGAAAAATTAAGATATGTGTATGGCTAATTAGTTTTATTTGTGGGGATTTATAACTTGAGAAAACCTTCTCTAGAGTGGAGTGTAATGGGGATTTTTGAAATCACTTTGGTGGGATGTCTTGAAAAATCATCCTGAGTAACGTGCCAGAAAACGTTAATATGGAGCAATTTGTTTTAGGAACCTTAATATCAGATTGGAGTGATAATCTTTAGATAAGGCTGTTGAAACTCAACCTTGGAGAAAATAAATGGAAAGTTATTTATTGTGAAAAGGTTTGTTATAAATAAAAAGACAGAAATCACAGTGTAAAATTTTTTGGAAATTATAAAATTTATCTTGAATCTCTTTTTGTTGAAATATTCCAACCATCACCAACTGACTCTAATTGGTAATTTGTTTCCCCAAAAGGGGGCCAAAGGCTGCCTGAGGGGGGTCATCTGTTTTAACCACTCACACCACTATACAGTAGTGTGTTGTTTGTCAGTCAGTAGATGCAAATGACATCACAAAAGGGATGCTTAACATTGCAATTTGTATACTGTTGTGATGGCAGTAAAAATGTGTGCATGCCATGAATCATGAGAAGAATTACGCACTCTACTGACTACAACGCAGCATGACATATGAACTTCAAAAGCAAGAAATATTTATTACTGTTAATTTTGGTTTTATTTATTCTTGAAACAGAAAATCTAGTTTAGTATTATGATTTCTTAATGTCAAGTCATATTGTGATAATTTACAGTTTAGGTATTTTGATTTACTTTTTTTTTGCATATGTATTTGTAGATCAATAGGTTTAATTTCTTGAAGAAAAAAAATCACACTATACTGCAGATGTTGTTACATTGTTTCACCAGCTTTTGGCATTAACACCTTATTCTTAAATACTTTCACTTCAATTCCTTCACTGATTGATTATCAGTATCCTCCATTAGGCTTTGTTGCAATCATATAACAGCCAAACAAGGCCAAGTCAGTCTGTTGTGACCACACCTTCAGTGTCTTGTCAATCATTCACAAGGATAACTTTTCCCAACAGAATGTCCCATATATCCATCAAATATATGAAAGAACATCATCAGGCAAACAATTCCATGAGTTTTTAATTAACAGAAAAGTTGTTTGGCTTTGAGAAGACAACTACATGTGGCCGTATAAGGTCTGTACCTACTCGTCCCGCAACAACCTTCATGTAAATTACATTTTCTCACCAAAGTTTAAATTTTATTCCTTTTATATCAGGCATAATACAGGCTCTTCAAACATTCATATAATCTGTTAAAAAGTGATGAAAGGCAGAATTGGAGGCAAGATATTGTGTTTGTGATACTGTCAGCATTGTAAACTTTTTAAGTTAATCCAGTTCCCATAGTAATGGTAGGTATAATACTCTTTGAATAACAGCCTTGTTTTGAAGGGTTTGGGGGACTAAAACTTATCAATATTTGTAAAGTAAATAAAACGCTTTTTGTTAACTTAATTTTGTATGACCCGAACGTTAACAAGTATATTTTCTACTTTTTCTACGAATGTGAATGATAATATGTTAAAGTGGTCACTATTTCATAAATTTTTTTTATTTCGTTAACTTGTTTTATAGTTGCTTCCAAAAGTAAACTTTTCCTGTACAGGGTCATTCAAGACTTAGTATCCCGTACAGTAAGATGTATTTTGTGTGGAAAATACTTGATTTGCAACACCAAAACGTTTCGGTTCTTTGTTGGATAACGTGACTTTCAGCACTAAAGCTCATTGGTTCTTTGTTGGATAACGTGACTTTCACCACTAAAACTCATTGGTTCTTTGTTGGATAACGTGACTTTTAGCACTAAAGCTCATTGGTTCTTTGTTGGATAACGTGACTTTCAGCACTAAAGCTCATTGGTTCTTTGTTGGATAACGTGACTTTTAGCACTAAAGCTCATTGGTTCTTTGTTGGATAACGTGACTTTCAGCACTTAAGCTCATTGGTTCTTTGTTGGATAACGTGACTTTCAGCACTTAAGCTCATTGGTTATGTAGTGTTTTTTTTCATATTGAACTAATGAAAGAGAAATATCAGGCAAACCATTCTATGACTTTGTAGTTAACAGAAAAATTGTTAAAGATCAAGTGTAGATTTGGCCTTCCAAAGCTTATATTTACTGTCTCTAATTTTATTGAGTTTTCCAATATTTTCTGGGGGGGATTGATAGTACAAAGGCCTCTTATCTTTGTATTATATTCTGAAGGTAAAACAATGAGAAGTCACTAGTTTAATATTTAGAAAAGACATGCTAGGCTCCAGTTAAGATAGTTTTACTTTTCTAACATAGTGGTTGACTTGGGGAACATGTTGCCATTGGAAGTAGTATAAGCCAGTATTCCACGGGAGTTTGAGGGGGAGGAATTGATTATTTTATGAAAAGTAAAGTGTTTTTTTTTTTTCAAATTGTTAATTTTCTCGAGTGGGTTTGCGAGAACTGACTCGAAGGATCAAGTAGTCCCTTGTTGTCCATAGGTTAGATTATTTAATAACAGTGTATGTATTTTACTTGTATCCTAAGACGTACTCTCTTCATTGACCATGCTTAATATGTTGTTGTTTTTTGTACTAGCATGCATTGAAACTAAACATATATAATTGTTATAAAAATCATTTTTGTTTTGTTTTTTTCTAACAGACTCAACTGCTAATAGGAGTCACTTGTAAAAAAAAAAAATGGATCTTTATGTATGGTAATTATCTTATGACATAGTCTCACGAGAAAATTTTTAAAATATGGATATGTAGAAAAAGTTTCTTTTAATCATTATTAATTCCGAAACAACAACAACAATAACATCATAACCTCTTAATCTAACTCAGTGGTTGAGTATTTCAGAATAATGTATTGTACTGTAAAATTGCAGAATTCAACCTTAGTACGTGTACTCTGAAAATCAAAACATAAGCATAAATTAGCTTACCATACACACCACTTAGCTTTGTTTAAATTTTTCTCTGTATAAGATTTAAAACTATAAAATGTTAGCAAAGACTTCGGGCATTATTGCCCTGTGCTCGTTAGCAAACTTCATTAATGCTGCTGACAGAATTATCATGCCTATAGCCATCATTCCCATGACGGATCAGTACAAGTGGAATCTCTACTGGCAAGGATGGATTTTGAGTGCTTTTGCTTTTGGTTATATAACTAGTCAGGTAAGATATTATCATTAATGTTTTTTTTTCATTTGAAGAATACTAACAATATGTAGATATACAAGCTGTTAAAATGTGATACTATGGTTGTATTTAATAGGACAAGAGAACACAATTAATGATTGGAATGAACATATTAAATTATCACCGCCTAGGCTACAGTTAAGATGGTTATTTTTCTCACGCGGTGATTGACTTACGGAATGAGAGGCTGTTGCGTTCACGGAGGCCAATACTAAGAGGGGGGAATGGCGATTTCCCCAAAAGTAAAGGGTTAGTTTAAATACTTGTGTACGGAAGTAACGTGTGCTATTACAATAGTAAATTGACTGACAATACTTTATAAGCATAGTAAAAATTAGTTTTGTAGAGACTGTACAAGGTGTTTTAACAGAACATTGTTCTGTGTTCTTCAGGTTGCTGATGTTGACTTAGTAGGGCTAACCTTGACCCTGCAATTTAATAATCTGTTAAAAAATAGGCCTGGTTGTTAGGGTGCAGGATTGAAACTCGTCACCAATCACACTAAGTCTTTTAACCATGAGGGCATTATAATGTGATGGTCAATCCCACTATTTGTTGGTAAAGAGTAGCCCAAGAGTTGGCGTTGCATTGTGTTCACTATCTGCCTTCCATCTAGTCTATCACTTCAAAAGTAGGGATGGTTAGCACATATGGGCCTTGAGTAGCATTGCATGAAACCCTATAAAAAAAAAAACTTTGACAGTAATTTGTTTTAAATAAATTGTTGAAATCATTAAATCTATAATTGTACGCATTAATAAATTTGATGGTAATAATTTGAATAACAATATATTAAATTATCACTACCTTCCAATCAAAGTACACTACCTATATATAGGTTTATAATCCATCTAATATGGTCTAATTCAGATTACGTAATGCTGTATGACAAGTACCGGTAGTGATCAGAATGCATTCTTTCATCAGTTGGGCACCTTCAGCTGTAATCCCAATAATGTCTCCCGAGGTTCATCCAGCTTAGAAGATTTAGCTTAGTCCTAAATGAAGAATATTCTTCATAATAAAATAAATATAAAAATAAAGATTACATTCCCTCTTGTAAAATTGCATTTCCTCGTGAATTGTTTTTTCTTTAATCTTTGTAATATGAACACTTTATTTGGTCATAACTAAAGGAATACGGATGGACCATGCATTCCTGATTGGGAAAGTGAACTAAACAGATGAAATTCTTCAGGAATGTAATATTTATATATCTGTATTTACATATATATATCAAAAATTTAGCCATTATTGATATACTAACACAAGGAAAAGATAAAATGGAACTTACGTACAACACACATAAAATGAAGCTGTTTGCTTTATGTGCTATCACTTATTTCCAGTCCCTTAAATTTTAAAAAGAAGCGTTATCATAAGCAACAGGCTTGGAAAGTAGTAATATAATATATTATATAATATATATGAAAAAAGTCATTTTTGGTTTATATTGTGAACCAAACCAATTATCTTACGTAGCTGATTTCAGGTTCCCTTTTTGTGATTCAAATTTGGGTGTTACTATAGCATGTGCGGTCTTTAAAGATACTATCATCATCGTCACCATTTTAACTTTCATTTATTTGGTGTCAGTTATTATAAATAACGTTTTTAAACTAATAAAGTACCAAATACCATCACATAACGGTTTTGGGGCAAATATAATGGGAATGAAGTAAATTCTAACAATTAGATCTAGCACAATTATAACCTAAATTTATAGTACTCTTTTGGAACACACAACTTATTAAATTGTTATTATTTGCTGAACAAAAATGAGGATAGATATAAATTACTTAGCAAGAAATTATGTTTTAGTGAATCATTAAAACTGTGATGATGATGACGTTAGTATCTTTGTAGATGGAATGCTATAGTAGCACCCAAATTTGTCATATATATAGATTTAGATACTAAATAAAACTAGTTTATTTGACTTAAGAGTTTATGTAATAAAAGTACTTTAAAATAATAAAACTGCAATAAAACTATTTAAAATAAAATTAACATGACCTGTAAACAACAAGGAGCCATTTGACCTTTCTAGGTTGTCTTTTACGCAGCTATCCTTTGAAAAACTGAAAATTGAAACCTCTCATTTTTATACCAGGAAATGATTGATTCCCATCTTAACCTCCTGTGAAGTGCTGGCTTCTACTGTTGCTGAAAGCAATTAATTCTACGAGTCAATCATCCTGTTAAAAATACTGTCTTTAACTGGAGCCTAGCATGTCTTTTTCCAAATCTTAAACTTGTGTACTCTTATCCTGTTATCATTGGAATGTATAGCACAGGCCTTAATATTGTGTGCAAAAATAAATTATTCTGAAAGAAACAGTTTATGTGCAGTAAAACTATTCCAAAAAACATAGTTGATATTTGTTGTATGTTTTTGCTGACATTTAGCGAGATTCAGACTATAGAACCATGCATCAAGGTCGGACATTTTAACCATGAACTCAGATTTATACAAGTCGTTGAGTTCTTTGTTTTGTATTTTTAACCCAGCTTATAAAGTAGTGGTTCCCAACCTTCTGTGGTCCTCGCTCACCTCCACTAAAAATTTTTGATTTGTACGTATTTAGAGTAAATTAATTTCTTTCTTCCTAAATCATCAAATATCAAAACAAAAGACTGTTTCTATTTTAATGTCAATGAAATTCCTTTTAGGAAATTAGGCATTTCCTTTTGGCAACATTTGGGGGAAAATGGACCTTGCAGACCTTTCACACACACCCATGGTTGGGAACCCCTGAATACAAAGTAACTTATGAAACTTAAATGAAACACATTTTCATAATGATGGTAAATGAATTACTGGTTTTAAAAGCCATTTGATATAATGTAAGAGACTGGGTAATTTGTGTTTGAATTTAGATGTTACATGATGACATGCTGCCACATCTTATTTGCAACCAGAATGTGTTCCTTTTTTTTTTCATTTTACCTATAGATTATTGGAGCAAGTGCAGCTTCAAAGTTTGGAGGGAAAACGGTTATGACGTGTGCTGTTTTTCTTTGGTCGTTCTCGACTGTGATTACACCCTTTGTTGCTTCTTCACTCTCTGCTCTTCTGGCCTGTAGAGTTTTTCTTGGATTAGGAGAAGGCTTAGGTTAGGTCGAAAATATTTTGTTTGATTGTTTCGGAATTAAAGGTTATTTAAATCGCTTTCGTAAGCACGACTTCAATATCAATAGTTGTATGTATTTGCAGAGAACATTCAGAGAAATTCTGAATAACGAATAATGACGGGAATTTATGCCAATTTATTTTCAGTATGTAGAATCCAAGCTCAAAATCATATATTCCGTATTATCTTCCTTGTCTCTAATAATTACGATATGGTGTTACAAATATGTACTTACAAACGACTTGGGTCAGGAATGTTTTGAAGTATGTGGGAAAAACTTAACTGTTTGAAAATCTGCATGTCATAGAAATGTTTACAAAATACTTTAAAAGTTAATCAATATTCTCGTAAGATTCAAGTTTGTTTTATATTATAAAGAATGCATAATGTTATCCATCATAATTGTAAGATCAGTTTGTATGGTGTCCTAAGGGATGTCGGAATAAGACTAAACGTTATAGATACAGAATATGATACACCTAGGGGTGTTTTAAAGAAACGCTTTTTTGATATAAAAAAACATTTTTTTAGGTCTTCCAACAATATTTCATATATTTGCACATTCCGTGCCTGTTGATGAACGGTCAAGAGCTTTTGGGTATTTGGTTGCAGCAGGGACTTTCGGTCAAACGGTGGCTGCTCTGGTAAGTATACTGATCAATGAAATGTTTTGGTTAATAGATTTTCTTGGAGAATATGAGGTGCAATGATGCCTTTTTAATCTACTGATTTAATCACAAAGCAAGACTTTTATGATTGTATTGACATGAAAAGATATTTCAATGTTTCCATGAATACATTTAAATAACTGAAAAAGGTCAGCATGTAAATAATATTTCATGCTCATGTATGGTTGACAAAGAAGAGATCAAGTCTGTAGAAAGTTTGGTAATTTAGATACGTGGCATGGTGATGAAAAGCAAAATGTGATAAATACAAAGATTTTCATATGGTTACGGTGACAGTGGAGGGTTTCTCTGCAGTGTTTGCACACTTTTTCTTTCTAGTTCACTCATAAATGAGATTGACAATGCCGTGACCTATAAACTTGTTAAATTTGCTAACGTCACTTAACTTATCCTTAAAAGCCGATAGTATCTAAAATGTTTTGATTCAATAACAGACTTTGGGTCAGACAGACAGGTGAGGTAGTTGAAAAACATGTTTTAATATCGAGAAATTTGAAATAATACACGTGGTTATTGTGTGGGAAGAACGTTGATGTTGTGCAGAGGTGGAAGAAGTGGGTGTGTGGAAGAAAAAGTTGAAGACCTCAGAAAAGTAGTCTGACTAGCATGTTAAGAGATATCCAGATTATAATACCTGTCTCCAAAAATATTGAATTTCATGTAGAAGATTTTTGTCCCTTATTTTAAGAAAGACTGGAAAGTGTGCAGAAAGAGGATATTACAATGTTACCTGGTTTCATTTGAAGTACTGTGTTTTGATGGAAATGGTGCAGAGAAAAGCTATTATAATTTAGAATGTTTTTTCTTATTTCCTTTCTTTATTTGATGTGTTAGAATGGACTAAAACAAGGCCATATTCCAGTAGGCTAATGTGTTTACCACTAGCATGAATAACAGTGAACATGAAAGTGGAAAGCTGTGGAAATGGGGACAGTTTCTAAGGAAAAAAAGACAAGGTGGCATCATATAGATTGTTTAATGCAGTAGTTACAAATACTGCAATACTAGTTAGCAGATACACAGGCTAACAGCAGTGTGTTAGTTGTAGATAATGTTAGTTCAAACACACACATTAATACTGATGAAGTAGATACAGTGAGTATTGTGAAGAATGTGGTTCTAGTTGGCCAGTAGGCTGGAAAACAGCAGAGTTAATAATTTACTTCAGTTCCAGTAATAACACCATTAACTGTTACAAGACAATGTTAGCTTCCATATTTAAGATAGCTTGAAAAATTAGCTCCCAAAACTTTTTTCAAGATGTTTACAAACATTCAGATACTTGAATGCAATCCAACTGCTCTGATTTTGCTGGGTTTGAGTGTCAGTTATTTTTTTTTTTAATTCCTGTAAACACCCAGTGGAGCATAGGGCCACAACGACACCTCGCCAACGGAAGGTGTTGTTGCAGTTACTTGTAGAAGTTTGTTTTTTACGGGGTGGAGTTGCTAGCCCCATGCCCAACCCTCCTCTTTTCTCATCCTGGACTTGGGACCAGGCAAAGGTGGAGGTTGGCATGTTTGGTGTGACGGGGATTCGAACCCGCGACCCTCAGATTACGAGTCGAGCGCCCTAACCACCTGGCCATGCCGGCCCGAGTGTCAGGTTTAGTGATGTATATTTCCTCATTTTTTTAGAAAATATTTAATTTATTTACATACTAAAGTCTGTTAATCTCTTCATTCAAGTTGACTTTAAGATCTTAACCTCTACAAAAAAGCTAGAGAGCTTTGTCAGTATAGTTTTTTACCTTTGCTGCTTGTTGTTAGACCTAAAATGTTTTAAGTTGGTGTGGGCAGTATTTTTATACTTGATCAGAATGAAGTCTTGTTATCAGAATCAGTGCTCTCCATACCTGCTTCTGTCTTTGTTAAAGGAGTATTATTGGA